TTCACAGGCAGACAAACCGATACTAGGAAATTCAGTAACAGGTAATTATGTCTTTTGTCTCCTGAGATGAGTTAATCAAGATGTCCACCCTGAAATGATGACAGACACAATAATAAAGAACAAGATGGGCTGTTAACGAAACAGTGTCTAATTAAGCCATCAGGGCGATCCATGTCTTGGGAGATCCAGTTCAGCAACTTCTGAATCACACCAAGACATGAAATCCAAGAGTGCAATAGTTCCCTCAGAACATTTTCTCTGTGCACAAAGTTTCAAAGTACTGGACGGAGAAAAATCAAAGAGCATCCATACAGACGTGAGGATCACAGCAAGCATTTCACATCTTGAGCTGAGTTTCTCTGCAGTGGTCTTCACTTCTAAAAAAGCTGATCCTTTTTTTTTCAGAGTGAAGCAATACAGCTTCAGGACCCTTAGAGATATTGAGACACTCATCTCAATGATAAACCAGATAAAGTTGACAGCTACAGACCTTCATTTGGAGCTGCTAGCATAACTGCTGCATACCTCCCAAGACATCTTACTTTTGGGGACTTAATTACCTGATCAGCATTTGCAAGGCCACTGTTGGGCTGATAGCAGCACAGCACCTACCCAAGCTGTGTGGGAGCTGGAGTAGCATCTTCTGTCTAGGAAGGATGGGCTCGGGCCAGTATTTATCTCACTTGTGGGTTATGTTCCCTGGAATTAGTGGTACAACTTCAGTATCGACTGGGAGTTGAGCCAGGCTCCAGCAGGTGAGAGCTGAGGAGCTGCTTAGCTCCACGTTCACTGTAAAGCCACCTTACTCAATGCACGTTTCTCCCATAGTTTGCCAAATATTTCAGTAAGGCAGGTTTCACTGCATATGGCATTTGCCTCTAAAAATAGTCTTTGTGCAATTCACATGGAAGGGGAAAGCAATTACACCTCTACTATGGGAAAAACATTCACTCCCTTTCCACGAGCTGACTTCAGAGCCTCTTCAGTGATAATTACCATCATTTTTCTGCTGAGGTTGCTGACATGGAGGTGAAGTGACCTCTCCAGACCTGGATCCAAACCAGTGTTTGCGGTCAGGACAGCCCCACCTTCTGATCTCCAGACAGAGTTCAGGTCATCTCCCTTCCAGCTATGGAAAGTGATTTTCTTTAATCTCTCGATGTTGCAAGTTGAGGCTGGAAATTTGACACCTAAATATTCCAGAAATCTCACTGCTTGCTTAAATAAAAGCAATGTCTCAACACAGAGCCGTGGCTGTACACTCTGTAACAGTCTTTGCCTCAACACTGCTCCACAAGTGCTACGTGCCCTGTTTCTCTCAGGTGCTCTAATTGATGGGTAACAAAGGTTACTGAAGCTCTGACCTCAAGATGCATATTCACTTGTGAATATTGCACAAATATTCAAATGCAATGTTTGATCTAATGAAATGTGCTGTCTCCTTTCGAACCCAGCTGCTCCGTCCTCTTCAGGCCAACAAGTACAATGATAAAACCCGCTTTTTTTTATGAGTCTGAGTTTATTCCCTCTCTCTTCCTGATTTGATGGGCTATATTCCAGGAGCATATCTCAGCAGAAGGGCTACTTTGATAACCATGAAGCATGATGCTACCTAGAAAGCAGACAGGCAGGTTCTCCACTGCTGGAAAGTGTCCTAGTTCCTGCCTTCAGCAGAGCTGCAACTGCAATTTGTACCAGCAGAGCAGTAGGTGAGGCCTGAGTCAGGGTTAGGTCTTGGGCTGGGATATTCTCCTCGCTAGGAAAGGCTGGCGACTAAAACTAAGCAGCTTCCAGAGCCAGCCAGGCAGGCAGCAAGGCTGGGCCCCACCTGCCATGAGGTAAGAAAGGAAGTTGCATGGATGAAGTCATGCTATAGGAGAAGAAGATGTGGTCTAAAATTCAGGTGTTCTGTCCTTCAGTTGCCAAATGATTATTAACAGAGGAAGTTACACCACAGCTAGAAACAGCTTCTTACACTTGCAGCCCAGGAATCCCAACTGGTCACAGGTACCAGCTCAGCCTGTTGCAACGATTGTATCTCTAGTGCATGCTCTGATAAGGGCTCTGGTAGAATGGTGGAGACAAGACAAAGATAGTCCCAAGACAACCAAATATGATGAAAGTCACCTCTGTGACGAGTTGTCTCCGCTGCTGAAAATAATCCTACCATCAGAAATTAGGACTGTTTGACTTGTCTCCTGATAGCTCCCTGAGATTTTGAGGGTAATAATCAGTGAGCTATTTTCACTCAATAAACTTTTTTTACATGGAAATAAACTGTAGGGAATAAACTGTATACGCTACAAGCTCCCTTTATTTCACATGTAGATTGAAACATCTTTTCAAATGCCGTCCTGGCACCTAAATAAGACCAGTGTCCAAATTCCATTTGGATGTGATAAATCTTGTATATTATTATTAAAAAAACACTTTACTTTTCACATGATACATGGAGATAAACTCAGTTCTCTCTTCTGTCACATTTAGATGGCTGGGAGCTGCATCTCCTGTACCATGGAAAATAATATGCAATCAAAATTGTGTTCTGAAATGAAAGAAGAATGAAATCTATTAAGATCTTCATGGGAAAAAAAAAATAAACCCATCCATCATGAGTTTATAGAATGACAAGAAAGTCACTTTAGAGAATTCATTGATGAAAAGCAGGTGAGAGACTGTGGTAGGTTGACTCCATCTCAGCCAGACCCAATACAGAGACGTACAGATTAGCCCCCCTGTCTTAAACTACAAATACATCCTAAGAAGCGAGGGCATTAGCTGACATGAAATGACTCATGCATGGGTTGAAGTGGAACCACGTTGACTGACACTGCACCAAGACCCCTGATCTCGATGGGGTCTGCAATGAATGTATTAACCTGAGGGCATGACCTTTATTCACACAGCAAGTTTTTTGTTAAATTGGATTAGTCAGAAAGGGGAATAAAACGCATTCTGCATCAAAAGCCTCTCTTTACAATGCCTACGTGTAAAACAAGTCTGTGGAGGAAATGCACAACATCAGTTGTGAAAGAATGACCTCATTACCTAGGAGGACTCATTCCCAGAAGGCAGGGCTTTGAAACCATATAAAAGTTCTCAAATCTCTGTGCTCCACCATCCACTCGACTTCGTGCTTCTCCCTGTTGACTGGTTGGGTAAGTCAGAGAATACTGATACTTTTTTGTGATGTCTATAATTTTACTGCTTGGCTTAATGTAGGCAGACTCTGTAAAGAAGTGTTTTATTTGATACCTTTGAATATGCAAAAGATTTCTGCAAAGAAGAGAAATTGTGGGCATTGGGGTAGGACAAGCAGTCTTGGAATGACTCTACAAGGCAAATTCAGATTGTGCGTAAATCTGAGGATAGTCAAGTGCTAAATTAGACCCTTTCTGAAGAAGAGATTAGATAAAATTATATTGGTTTAACTATAACTGATCCTGCCTCCAGGGAAGGAGAAGGTCTAAATGGCCTCCTAAAGCTCCCTCCAAATCTATTTTCTGCGATTCTGCTATTCATAACAAAAAAAAAAATTTAACCTTCAATTTCATTGAAGAATTATTTTGCAAAAGATAGATTTGTGAGTGTGAGGGGCTGTAGGGAGCAGAAGGGTGAAAGTATTCCTAGTGTGCTGTCTCATTTATGCTAACCATGTCAAGAGCAATATATTAATTTGGCTTAAGATCTTATCAGGTCCTTATAAAGAAAATAGCAAGAGACAAGTGATATTGATCTGGAGGATCTAGGAGGATGTAGAAGCGAGGAATGAATTTACTTTGAAGACGTGCTGAGAGGAGTAGACAACATGGGGAAGAGAGAACAAATTTGCACACTCTCACATGAGCTGTGTTGGTGTTAGTCCTGCAGTGAGGGGACTTAAAAATGCCCCTTCCAACCAAGGCTTCTGTGATTCTAACCTTTTATTTGTGCCCTTAGATTGTCTTTAGAAAAACAACAGCACAGGCTTTACCAAAGACACAGCACCAGTCCAGCTGAGCCTGGTGCCTGCCTTCAGCAGCCCGCAAAACAGAGTGTTTCATAAATTGTTAGGAAAACCCATTTGGCCTGTTGCACATTACTAGCCTTGGGAGAATAAATCCCTCCTGATTATTCTGATTCATGCGACCTACATGTATTATTAGTGGCCATGATAATCCAGAAATATAGGGACGCATTACCACTGCTAATTCTTTCCATGACAGTTGGAAGGACTGTGCCACAGGTAACCTCAATCCATTACATCATCAATGAAGTCAGAGTGAAACCAGAACAAGAAGAGTTGGCCTATTGTTACTGTAAAGACTCTTAATACTACAGAGACATCTCAGCTTACTGGTGAGGTCCACCTTGAGGCCTTAGCACCTCAGGTTTCTAATCCCAAGTAAAATCTGGAAACCATTTTAAAAGGGGCAAAATCAAATGAAGTATTTCAGTTTTGTCAACATAAAATATCCTGTTGGGCCCAGATTTATATTCTTCTACTTTTTGATACACCAAATATTTTTAAAGGTTTGTCTTCAGCATTCATTATTTTTTTATTATTATTTTGACTTTCTGAAACCGCTATCAAACCAGCAGATCTGTTATTTGCCAGCTCCTCTCATCAATTCCCCAGGACAGAAATGAAAGGGAGTTAACACATTGGGAAGAGCTAAGCAACAGGAGGAAGGTCTCTGAAGTGTAAATCATCTCCAAGTTCAAAGGAGTGGCTCTACCTCAGTTAGACCTGACAGGGCTGTCCCACATTGCAGAATGGAAAGGAACAAGATAAGACAGAGTCAGAGCAGAAGCTGAAAGGCAGGATGAAAAAGAATGAGCAATTCATAATTCTTTCTGAGCCAACCTGCCTTGGGAAACCAAGGGCAAGCTAAGAGAACTTTACTCTTGCAGTTGATTCATGTTTCTTATAATCATTTCACCCCTATCCCAATGCAGTTCATTTAGCAGACACAATAACACTCTGACATTTCTTTCAGATAATCTTGTTTCCTGCAAAGATGTCTTTGAATCAAATGCAGATCAAGCAGGAAATCACCCTCCCACCTGGCCTGAGCAAAACTATTTCAAAGCAAAGCCAAGAGCCTGAGCCGTGCACTGAGCCAGTCCCATGTCCACAGCAGCAACCTGAAGTCCAAGCCCCAACACCTTGCCCAGAACCAGCCCCAGTAGTAGTGGTACCATGCTCAGAAAAAACAGTACCATTGCCAACACCAGTGCTGGAACCATGCAAGGGAGAAACACCAGTGGTTGAAATACCCAGCTGTCCATCCCAGGAGCAGCAGCAGCAACAGCAATGCAAGCTACCACCAACTTTCCCACCTGTGTCATGCCCTGAGCCTGTTCCATGCCCTGAAGAGAAATCAGTGTGTAAAGAGCTGCCTGTGCCAGCCCCTGTTTCCTGCTCTGAACCAACTCCATGTGTGCTGGAGAAGCAGGAGTGCAAGGACATCCCTGCGCCAGTTCCTGTTACCTGCTCAGAGGATGCACTGTGTCCCCAAGAGAAGCAGCAATGCAAGGAGATTCCTGTACCAATCCCTGTTCCATGCCCTGAACCTGCACAATGTCCCCAGGAGAAGCAAGAGTGCAAGGAGATCCCTGTGCCCACCCCATGTCCTCTAGAGAAGCAGGAGAGCAAGGATACCCCTGTGCCAATCCCTGTTCCATGCCCTGAACCCACACCATGTGCCCAAGAAAAGCAGCAGTGCAAGGAGACCCCTGTGCCAATCTCTGTTCCATGCCCTGAATCTGCACCGTGTCCTCAGGAGAAGCAGGAATGCAAGGAGATCCCCGTGCCAATCCCTGTTCCATGCCCTGAACCTGCACCATGTCCCCAGGAGAAGCAGGAGTGCAAGGAGATCCCCATGCCAATCCCTGCTCCCTGCCCTGAGCCAGGGAAGTGCTCCCTTCCAGAGGATTGTCCTCCCATTGAGCAGCAGCAGTTGAAGCAGCCCAGCCAGTGGCCACCCATGCAGAAGTAACTTGCAGCTGACAAGGGAAGCCCTGAAGAGAGAAGATTGCAAACCCAGACCTCCTCTCCCCGTGTCTCACAATCAGAGGTCATTTTCCAACACCCTTTTACTCACTGTAGAATTTCTGTTAAGAAGCACAGCTTCCAACTCTCCCCCCCAGCTAACGCTAGCGTTACCCTGTACTAACAGCCATAAGCTAACTGACACATCAGGACCGTCGACAGATAATAAGGCTTCAAGCAGTGTTGTAGGCATGTGCGTTCAGCTTTCCAGCGGCCTGAATTTCTGCCCTCTCCCAATCATCCCACTGGCTTTTAAAGGCCCAGAGAGAGACCAAAGAGCATGATGGCACGCACGAGTCAGGGTTCATTAAGCTAAATATTCAAACTTAACCCAAATGCAGTTAGGGACCTAGAGCTCATCATCCAGACCCACACACTGCCTCCTGGTTTTCATGCCTTCCTCCCCAGCTGCCTGTACGCAAATGCCATCTCCCACTTCGCATTTAGGGGTTTTGCCTATTAATAATAGGATTTGAGGTTTGTGCAGGACCTGCTGCTAAGGGGTTCTTGTCAATGGCAACAAGACTTTCTGAATCATGAATCCATAGTGCTGAATATTTTATGCAATTAAAAAAGTCCATTGGGCTAGAGGAAATAGAAAGATTTTTACAAAAGAGCCATCACCTCTTAATTATCTGCTTAGCTGAATTGGTAGTAATCAGCGCTTTCCTCAGAGAGCTCACCCTGGATTTTCTAGGATGTGTAAAAGAACAGCTCGAGCTGAGATTATTTATGGAAAATATATAGATAATTAAATCCAATCTAGACATGTTTTGAAATAGATTAACCTCAGGCATGGCTTCCATCTCTTAGAGAGGATAAAGGACGAAGCATACACAGTGCTGTCCCAATTACACCCTGGAACATGTTTCACCACACAGTGTTGTTGCGTATGTATTTGGTACTTATCTTTAACTATTTTAGGCTGATAATGTATCCAGGATTTATTTCACTGTGAAAATCGACAATAAAAATTACTTTGAATACCAAGTTGTGAATATTTTTTAATAGCTTCTGCTTAAAAAGATGAAAAGGAGCCTCAGCTTGCAACAGTCAGTCATTTTTAGGCTCAAAGCTGGGTGAATCAGGACTCAGAAACTTGGGTGCTTGCAGGGGACCCACGTGCCCAGGTTAGAGAACCTACAAGAGCCCCTGCACTGCGTTAGTCCATTGGGCTGGCCAATAGCACCGAAATACCTCTCAGCAAGACACCCCATCCAAGAGCATGGCACATGGCCTCTGCTTACACCAAGCTGCCCCGTGGTCAGTCTGCCCAATTTAAACATACTTACAGCTACTCTGTGACCTTCAACAGACATAAGGCATGGGCATGTCTACAAGGCAGGTTGCAAGCACAAGCAAATGAGTTTTTCCCACGCTTCGGATGAGCCAGGAGTGATGTAATCTCACTAGTTTGGCCCTGTACCTGTTAGATGGGTGTTAGATACATCCAACCTCACCGTCTGATCACAGAATCACACCAAGACACATGGCTTCTGGTTTGCAGAGCAAGCTTATGTCTGTCTGCCAGACACCAATATCATATCATTCAACAGTCTCTGTATTTGTAATTTTCCTCCCCTACTTTGCCATACAGCTGACTAGAAATCAGTTAGCCAAGCCCATACATCCTGCTGAGAAACCAAAACATTCTGAATCCTCTTCCTGGTCCTTTTAAAATGGAAACTATTCATTCTGAGCAACCAAAAGCTTCCCTTCAGTGTTAAAGACTTCCAAAGACTGTTTTCCTACAGTAGAGTTGAGACTCTAAAAACACAATTAATAGTTTTGATAGATCCACAAGAATATACTTTAGATTATTATATCCTGCAGAAAACTGAGTTTCCCCAGTTTTCTCAGGTTGTTTGTTCAGGACGATTGCCCTGAGATGGGAAGCACATTGATCCTGAGCCAGTTTTGACACCCAGGCAGCAGCTCTCCCCCAAAGGACCACAAATTTAAATGGTCTTTCTAGAAATAGCAATTATTTTGTGTCCTGTTTGCACTAGACAATTCACATTCCTTGTCCACTTGGTCATCATATTAACAGCTGTAGGTTTCTGGATCTATTGGAAATAAAAATTATGAACAAATCATTCCTTGGGAAATATGGAAGGCAAATGTGTGTGGGTCCCTGGGTATGCATGCCTTGTATACAAGTCTATGTTTAAAGGTAATTCTTTGGCTGATAAGAGAAAGCAACAGAATGAATGACACTAGTAAAGTGAAAACAAAAAATATCAGGAAGCAAGTAATGAGGTTACTTATAATTTTATTGTAGTATGTCCCAAATTAAAGATCAGAAGAAGACACCCCACAATTATTTTTTTTATATAGTAGAAGATGAATAAGTCCAAGTTAATGAATTACATCTCTTTGTAATTTCTGCTTGCAAACAAAGGAGGCATGCTGCAAATTTCTAGCTATTCTGGCAGAGCCAGCAGACAGAAGGAGAGCTTGGCAATAAGCATTGCATCTTCCATGGCACTTTGTGGCCATTACTGTTAGTGCTACTTCTGCTTTGGGCATTGCTGCTGCTGCTGTGGGATGCTCTTCACAGGACACTTAGCTTGCCCTTTTGGGGGCTGGCATTGCTCCACACTCTTTGGAGGACACTTTTCCTGGCATTTTGAAGGTATTTGCTGCTGCTGTTTCTGCTGGTGGGAAGACATCTTTGCTAAGCCTGGAAGAAAACCAAGGTGCCATTTCAGTTATTTTAAGCCTTACACACCTCTCCTTTCTGGATATTACAGTTTCAGTCAGTGCTTTGATACCAAACCAACAGTGAAGAGCCTTTAGAAGTTAATCCTCCCAGCAAAATCACAAAAAAAAACCCCTTGGAAATCCCTGAGGATGCTGCTTTTCAGACCAAATTTGTGTTGGTGACTCCAATTTGCTGTAGCTGCCCCATATTGCTTTTCTGGGCTCCGGTCATGGTTAGCCTCTATGGAGATCAGCCACTCTGCTGAGGCCTCATATTCATTTGTGCTTATATATAATTATGCCCTGAGGCAAGCACCATCCTAACAAAGTTGTGATCCAAACAGGTAAATGGCTACAGAGGCAGAGGGAAGAGAAACAATGAGAGGGGTGTCATCGTCCCCCGCCCCGTTCACTGTTTTCTGAACATTTCAACTCTGACAAGCTAAGAAGCAATACAAATTTTAATGAAAGCATGCTTAGTTCAAGGAGAACCTCAGAGCAATATTTAAAACTAGTCAAAGAGGAGCAGAAAGCCAGTGACTGCTCAGTATTGCAAATATATTGAAAGAGAAAAATCATTTGATAACAATCCCTTCCAGCAACAGCCATGTCTTTGCTCAGTTCATTGAGTGCCTCAAAGCAGGAGCCATGTCTCCGGCTGTTAAACACAGGTGAACTGTCCTCCTGCTCAGTGAGGATGTGATGTTATACAAAGAACTGAAACTCAGAGCCCTAGAGATCCAGGAGACTGCAGGGATCAGCCCATGGCTGCTCAACAGATGCAAAACAAGCTGCCAGCAGATGCCATCCTTTGGTAGCCAATACTTAATACCCAGTGGTTATCCACAAGGATTCTTATCAATTGGGAAAGAGTTATGAGGGTTTACTGGTCCAAAGAGTCAGCAAGCCACTGTCTGGAGCCTCAGAAAGTCTCAAAATAACAATACATCTTTCACCTGTATGGAGGTGAAATTGCCAGGGAGATGAGCTGAAACTGGTACTAGACACACAAAATAAAGACAAATCACCCTGTCTCCCAAGAACAGGGCACCAGAAACCCCACCTATATAGCTAAAAGTGCATAGAGGGACTCACCTGGTGTCTCCTGCTGCTGGAGGAAGGGAAGAAGAGGCCACTCAGATTAATAAGCCTCCCATATGGGAGGCTTTTATATGCTTTCAGAAGTCAGCCCTGGGAGCTGATGACAACAGATTAACTTGATGACCAGAATCTTTCACAACCAGAACCTGCTCCACTGACACCTCCGTACACCTGGACTTCAGTCAAGGTCTGTGAGAGATGCCTCCTCTTTCAGGTGCGGGGGATTTGTTGTTTTTAATGCAAGGCACACCCAATCTGGTAATAACTGGCTAATTTATTAATAATTCATCTTGTCCTGACCTTGGGCAAAGATCCCACAACCAAACTCAGATTTGAGAGACGGCTCAGATCCGCTCTGGAGCTAGCAGAACATGTTTGCATAATGTTTAGGTGTTTCCTGATAGTTCTGCCTGTGATCACCAGGACAGATCTCCAGCTGGCATAAATCTGAGTGAGGTCGGGGCGGGGGGCTGTGTGCTGCATCCCAGCTCCTGGGAAGGGCAGCAGGTCTGTGTATGGCAGTCTGTAGTTTGGGGTTTTGCTCCTGTCCTTCTCCATTTTCCTTCCCCAAAAGGGGAATGAAACATTTTATGTTGCCACGAAATTAGAAAGCTTTCACCTTAATTTTTCCTTGCACTTTCAAGTAGCTTTTCACTGAAGCAACTAAAACTTCTTTTTCACAAACACTGGGTTTGGCTTGCTGAAGTTGTGGCAGAATTTTTTTTCTAGGGATGGATCTATGTTTCAGAAAAATGTCGATCCCCTTGAAATTTTTCAAGGAAGGAAGGAACAGAGAAAATGTTTCAATGGAAACATTGTCTTTAGCGCTAATGGAAAAGGTAATTCAAGCCTCCCTTGAGTATTCCTTAATGCTATGCCCTGTGGGGTCATATTCAGCCCTAGGAATTACAGCCCGGTCTCCATTACAGGTGTGTGATACATGAAGAGATGATGCACATGGCTTCCACTGGATGTAGAGGAGCAGAAGGTGTTAATGGAAACAACATCATCCCATATCTTAACATCCCTCACTCATGCCTGATTTACCAGGGGTCTTAATGACCCCAAGGTTGACATAGACCAAATGTCACAAATTTGTTGTAAATATACAGGGGAAGCTTAGCAATGCTCAGAACTAACCAC